ATAAGCAAAGGCAGAGAAAAGTCCTGATTTGTGTATTCGTTTGAGTTAGTGGTTTTAAGAGGCAAATTTAAGAAAAAAAAAAGCGCTATGTGAAAACCAAGGTCAAACCACACTATAAAAAAAAAACTGAGTACCACACATAGATAAGGCATAGTGGTGAGTAAAGCTAGGAAGACCTGGGGAAAAAACTAAAAAACTGGGGAAAAAAAACAGGGTTTTTCCAAAACTGTTTTTTGTTTTGCCAGGAAAATTTGAAAAAGAAGTGTGGAATATGTTAGTTTACAATGATAAATAATACATTTATGACATGGTATTCAAACTACTGTATATAACATGAAAGATTTCTGAGACTTTATGTAAAACTATTTTTTTTGTGGCTTCAAAATTTCCAGAAATTGTTATTCTCTAGTGGTGAGCTTCACAAATGTGGTAATCTGAATTCATTGGAGCACTCTAAAACTAAAGAGGAGGCTACATAAAAAGCTGGAAGGAAATTCTTGCCAAGGTCACATGATCAGCTCTCTTCCAATTACAGAGCTATCTCTCTCTGCTGTTTTCAAACAAATACAACTCCATTGGGCACAACAGGATCCACAGCAGGGAATGCAGTTTATGAGTGGGTCATAAAAATGTAGGCCAGGGTTCGAAAAACCTAGCAGAGTATAAATGAGAGTGGACAGTGATATCCTCTCTTCATTATAAATCACTTCCTATGTACTGAAGCAGAAGGTTCGAGCAACTATTCTTTTTATGTCATGTTGACACTTGAAAGCCAGGCAACCAGCATTTGGCAAAATGAAAAGTCAGCAATGGCAGTTTTCATGATTTACATGAAAAATTATTGTTTTAAAACGATCTTGACCCACCCATTTTTGGTATTTTTGACATGCAACTTTAGACATTTCACAGTTACCTTAGGAAAAAGCTATTGGCCAGATTAGAAAACCAATGTTTCACCCAAAATAAGCTGGGGTCAGGACTGGCTGTTCGATTGAAGCTATATGTCCCTCAACCATAGCACGAACAAAAAAGTGTGTACAAGATACTGTGAGATTCTGCTTGCCTGTTGAGCTGTCTTCTCTGCAAAGTGAAACATGGAATCTTGCTGGTTACCACAGGCAGCTTCTCCATGAGTCTTGGTCTAGTTTTCAGAAATCTTCTTCTTACTTTCCTGTGGGTAGCGTCTTGGAAGTCAACCCAAGTTCTCATTGCTCTAGTGCAATCCATCAATGCCAGCCCACTTCTGACACTTCTGATTTCATTAATTTACCTTTGTGTCATATATTTTCTAATTGGTGTGATATGATAACCTTCACTGGCTTTTTACACTTGGCTGTATATAAAGAAGAGCTTTAATTCCATCCAGTAACATCTCATTTGTGTGTAGGATCTAAATCAACCCGCAACATTAGCTAACTGATATCACTTTTAACATGCTAGAAACTAATTTTGGTAGTTAGGAAATTATTTAACTGTCAAAATATTTTTTACATTTCTAATTTGGAAAAATGCTGATCAGTGGTTATGCAGCTATTGACCATTTTAAACACGTGGCCTTCCTCATGGTCAGAGGAAGGTCAGTGGCTGTTATTTCATGGATTGGTATATGTAGAACTGGTCATGTACCAGGAATTATTCAATATCAGATCATTAGCAAATCATTATTTAAAAAATATTTTATATTCAGCAGTGCAGTTCTCAAATTAAAGCATACCTATGGTAAAAATTGTAAATTCATATATTAATTTCTACATTGTATTTCAATTATTTCTAGTCTACACCTATTAATCTGAATGATCTTGAGGTTTGTAGACTTACTTTGTTAAGATCCCTGCAAACCTACTTAAATCACTATGCCCTGTTGATAGGCACTGCTATGTCACACATTTCACAGAGTCTGCCTTGGTTCTGGGAGAAGGAGTTATGGGAGGCAAAGTTAGTACAGGGGTCACTGCTTGCAGGCAGCAAGGTACCATGGGATATGTAGTCCTTAGAAATTGAACATAAACAGCAGAGGGGTCGCTGCAAAGCATGCAGGTAATCTAGGAAGTTGTGGAAAGAGATGACAACCAGACAGGCAGAACTCACTGCACGAAAAGAGATTTTTCAAGTAAACATATATATAAGGTTGATGTAATAAAATGAGCGTATACTGTGACCATTTCCTTTAATGTTATCACAGAAAGATATAATGCAATGTTTGACATTGTGGTTTGTTATCTCTCCATGCTAGGTGTATTTGAAGACCTGTATAAGGGTTTGTGACAGTGCTACTGCTGCTGCCATTGTGTTCCTGATTGACCGATTTCTGTACTGGGCAGATGCATCCACAAGACTTCTTTCGGTTGCCAAAGCTTTGCACAAGTTGTGGCCTTCCACACCAATAGCCCCACAGGTGGTTATTCGGCAAGCTCGCATCTCCGTAAATACAGGTGACATATCTCTGAGTTGATCTTTCTCTGTTTTCTGAGCTTAGATCCAATTAGGAACTACTTGACTTTCAAGAGGACACTTGGTGCCATTATGGCATGACATTTCAATGAACCCAGTGGCATCTTTTCAAACCTAGGACCAGCCTCCCTTTACTTTAACAAAGGGGCAAGAAAGAAGAGTTTCAGAGCCAAAAGAGGTAGAGAGATTTGTGAAAGGGGTGTGGAAAATACTAATTGGGCCTTTTGTTCCCAAACAAATATACCCTGCTGGTTTCAAACAGGGGTATCTGAATTGCCTTACTTCTGATCAAGAGCCCCTGTAATGCAACAGACAATCTAGGCATTATATAAAAGCTTGCTCCTATATTCTGTATTTTGTATTCTGTTCCATAGGACCTCTTGGCTAAATAAACAAGCAACCGAAAAAATAACAAGTTTTCCTTTTTTTTAAATTATGTTTGAAGGAGCAAATTTTGGGACAGCTGTGTGTATTTGTGACTCATTTGTGACTTCGTTTTTTGTCACTCTGGTTTTCTTGATCTCTAGTTTGCAGATACTAGATTTTTCTATATGTACGATAAACAGATTTTCTTAGGTTTTATTTTACATCTATGAATTGTAGATCTAATGTAATACATGTTACATTTATCAAATATTCATTGCAGGTGAATCTTACAGTTTCTTGTGTTATAAATTACACGGAATCATACACAACCTGGTAATGTTTGGTGAAAGCCACAATCAATTTTATTTTTTATAAATATGATTTGTGACTGAAATGACTGTACACCATTAAAGGATAACTAAAGGCAAAACTTTTTGTTTTGGATAGAATGGAGATGGATTAGAACGCTGTCAGGTTTTTATTGCTGTCTGTGCCCTGTTAGGGAAATTCACACTCTCTATATTTCCTGTTTACTATTATCATTGAAAATGAAAGTAAAAGAAGATCCCAAATTTTGGGTTGTCCCCCAGAAAAATAATAGAGGGAAAATCTTTCGATGTGGACACTAGTTTTGGTGATCTGGTGGTACCCAAGGGATTCCCTTAATTTGCAAGGGATTTGCTCTCAGTTTCTCTTTTGTGATGGGACAGGAAATCTCTGCAATAGTTGGCAAAAAAATCTAACAGGGATTATAACCCTCCCTTGCTTTATACAAAATAAAAAAAAAATGTGCCTGTACTTTAAAATGTACTTTAACATTTGAACTGTATAATTACATAAAACAAAAGTGACATTTAAATATGGTGGTTAATGGGATATTATATGACCCCTTTGTTGTGTAGTTTACGCCTCCATGTTGTTTTCTATTCTGTGAACAAGGAATTCACAAGAAAAAGCGGTTATATAAAGGACAATGCGATACTCAAATAAATTATCAAAATATGCTTTTATTAGCAAAATTACAATATGAGGCAATTGAGTAAAGACTGCTGGTAGCCATCACTTCAATAAAAGACAATACAAAAGACAACCTAAAACAAAAAACTAAAAATAAAAAAGAATGACATCATGGCTAGGCCATAAATTGTACTGTGCTGCAGAGACAATGACTCAAAGGACTTTTGCTCATACAGCAAAGACACATGGGGGCGCACAACCATGGTGGGGATACATATATCATGGAGAAATTACAATATTGCTATAGACCAATCATCATGGAAATAGAAGCTCAACTAGGGAAGATATGTAGTAAAGAATATACTTCATGACCATGTAATTGGATACATTCCACATATAGATGCCTGGGTCAAAATTGTGGTGAAAAAGGCACTTGTTGCAATCCAGATAGTGTATAGCCCATAGGCCAATTTCTGAGACCAGAAGACACAGCCTCCAAATATAATATGCGATAGTGAGTTATAAACCCATATAGGGCAGTGGATATTGCATAAAGCTCCTTGAAGATGTACGTTGTGTCAACCAAATATGGGCAAAATAGCTTTTCACTGACAGCTGGATGTAGAATAAAGTCACTGTCCTGAAATGAGGAGTGACATTTAGAAAGTCCATGAGGTAGCCGCCATATAGGGACTTCTAATGGCAGAGAGACATGCATGCATGTCCAGTGATCCGCCAGGTGTGAGTAAATGTGTCACTCACCACCTACTCCATCAGATGGAGATAGTATGACCTTCCCTTAGTCGCTCAGTTCCATGCTTGGAGTCCCAGAGGCAGCCGCCATGTCAGGACCTCCAATGGTCAAATTCCGCTTCCTTGAGAGTACACATGGTGGTTGGTCAGTGCCAAAAGTTAGCGTGGTGGCCCGTGTCCCCACGAGAACTGGGTGCGTGAAGCCGATGTGCGCGGCCAGCCATGTGACGTCAATGCGGGTTCTCCGATGGACGTATCTTATTCATCTTCGTCAGGACCAAAGTGAATGTTTTACTGAGCTTTTTGAATTAGGTCAAGCTAAGTAAAAGTTTACTTTGCAAAGAATACCCAATCATGTGCAAGAAAATTTTTTAAAAAACTGTATTTTTGCTTGCAGATAACATAATGTCAAGTCAGTACAGCTCCACCTCAAATGTACTTTGCAAGGTGAAAATTATTATAGCTTATTGAAGTCAAGCTACACCCTTTATCCAGTCGTATGCAAGAGAACGTTTTTTGTTTTTTTTGTACATGATTGGTTATTTTTGGTAAAGTTAACATGCTCTTCTACCTAAGGAAATCAACCCCATTCTTTAATCATTAGCATGTACTGTACATCCCCTACATACAATGTTCCTTGTTCCGTTAGCAGCATTTCATTCCCATTGTCTGTACTAGCTTCTGATGCATCTATTCTCACATTGTCTGCAATAACTTCTCTGGCAGTTCTGTCCCTCTGTCTGCACTACATTTTCCACTCTATGTTCTCTGACTGCTCTGTCATGTCCCCAGTGTCACACTGCAAGCCATGTCCCATCCACCCAATATTTTCTGGCAGTTCTCAGTGCACATGTGCATTCTCCGCTCACAATATGCACTGCTTTATATTCCTTTTCTTATATCTGTCCGCAGTAGTATCTGCTTCTGTTTACATTGCACTGAACCCCGATTTCTCTTCACAATACATCTGCTGCATTGGACGCTATACACTCCCTGATTCCCTGTGCTTGTATGATACCTCAACTCTGCGTTCTGTGACCTCTGTTTTGTCAGTACTTTTGCATTCCCATTTTTATTGCATTCTGCTGTTCCTATTTTCCACAATACTATCCTTTGTATGGTATGTTGCCTCAGAACCGTGTCCCTACTGTCCTTTGACAGCCATAGAAGAGGCAACATCCTAAGAAAGTGTCAAATGACATTTCATAAACATACAGTAGATCCTGCATGTACTAACCTGCCCCTTCCTATTAAACTGTTACTAAACCCAGGTCCCTGCATTCACTATATCTGGTCTCCCACAGTACACAGAACATGGAAAAGCAATTATTTTAGTAAATATAAACGGCTAAATACCTTTTCTCATCAGCAGTTAGATCAGCCTTTTTACTTCTATCAGTGTCCAGCAGAGCACTGGTTAAAGCTTGTAGGAGGAGTTTTCTTTCTGGTCTAGGAGGATGCAGGATCCCTGACCTCTTTCTTTAGTGTGCTGCTTGGCCCTGTGCTGATCACATGCACTCTCCCAAGAAAAAAAACCTCTCTAGCAATACACACCAAACTGAACCTGTGCAGAGTGTCTACACACATATGTCTTATCAGGAGATAAGAGGGGGACACGGGAAGAAGGGGAGAATCTGAGAAGTCAGGATCAAACCTCCTTTTTGCACAATGTAGAGGATTAACCCCTTAGGTTCCACAGTGAGTATAACAAGCATGCTTTACTACATATACAGACTGATTTTACAGTTGCGGGTTTAGTAACACTTTAAGTGCCAACCGTTGGTTAAGCCCCACACCTTTTCTGAAGTGTATTATATCTGGCGCAAACAGTTGTACCATGACTTCTTTCATGAAGTGAAAGGATATAAACTGCTCCAGGAAGAAGCAATGACCGTTCATGCACGACTCCTCTCCCTAAATCCCCAATCAGCTCCCCCTTTGTCTTGTTCCTGCTCTGCATCCTCTCCCAATAAAAACACAATATTCCCCAACAATGCTGAACCTCACTATATCTCCTTCCCGATGGCCCGTAATTAGATCATGCTCAGCCACCTCTGTTCCCTATCCATAATTTAATCTTACTACCTAACTTTTCTTTCTTTACCTTTTCCATGATCATCTACTTTCTGCCTTCTCTCCCATTTACATGGTGAACTCTGGTCTCTCCTTCAATCCCTGCCACCCCTGAACAGCTTTCAATCTGCCTTCTTTATGCCCTCCCCGGTCCACAGACAGTTGTTATCCTGCTCTCCTATTCCTTTCCTCCTTCCATGTTCAGTCCCCACTCTCTTTCCTCCTTCATGGTCCATAATTGGCTCTTGCTCTCCTTCCTTTACCCTCAAGTTCAGATTATTCCCTGTCTCTCCCCATAATCAAATTAGTAAAATGGAACCCTTGACCAAATAAAGTTTACCCAGCTAAAGTTTCTGATTGGGCGGTCATTCATACAGGCATATTTAACTACTTAGAGCACAACAAAACATTCAACTAAAATTAACCCCTTAATAAATGTAAACACATTTGCTAGATTTAGTTATGTATTCTTTTTTAATATATGATTACAGGTCAGAAGCTTAACAGCGTGTATAACGTTTTCTACAGACTTTCATGTATCTTTTCATAAAATTTCTAAATGGTATTAGACTGGTTTTGTATTTTTATATTAGAATAAAATGTCACTAAATATTACATACGACATATAATAATTTATGTGAAGGACCTTACAGAGCTGTCTCCCAGCCTGTGCATTCCCCAGTGGATTGCAATAGAGCATGCAAAAAAGTTGTCATAAAAACTCTCCATCTGCTTTAAGAGAAGAATATTGCTATAAAAAATGTGATAGGTGTGTCTTAAAGGACATGAATGTGAAGGCCTCCATTGCAGACCTCTCCTATACTAGTATAGTGTAATCAGGGCCAGGACATGGTCATCCAGTGCCCAGGGCAAAGATGTCAAAATGCGTGCCCTGTCCCTCCACTCCTTCATGATGTACAAACTTAGGGGATCCTACGCTCAGCAGTCACCTGTCAAAATCACCCTGCAGCTCCTGATCTGGAAGTGTGCAGGTTTTCCAATGCAGTCCCACCACTAGAATCAGAAAGGAGGGGGAGAGAGAACACCACCCGATCTGCCTCCTGGATCTCTCCTTGCCACTCCCAGCGGTGGGCTGAGAGGAGTAGTAATGCCTCTGTCACTACTCCTGTCAGCCTTGTAAAACAAGGAAGGTCCCTCCATCCCTACAATACACCACTGCATCCAGGGAAGCTGTCCACCCCTTTTTCCCAGCCTTGAGTGTAATGACAAATTCACTGTAAGGTTCCCTGTGTAGCCAGGTGCCAACTATTTTATAATGGAAACCAAGTGACACTGACAAGGGGAACTAGGGGTTAAGCATTTCCCCTCTAGTGCCCAGTATTCAGACTATTACATTACCTCCGATCAGCGGAGTGAAAGAGCTTATCTTCTGATTGACAGCAGAGGACCTTGGGACCCGTAGTCCTGCTACCACCCGTCACTGCATTCCTGGGTGCTCTTTGAAGTACACATCCCAGGAGCCACCTAGCAAAGAGAATTGTGGGAGACCCTATATATTTGACTGTGTTTGGCGGTCTCACTCTCAAGGCTTGGGACTTTAGACAGGATGATGGGAGTCTGGCGTTCTGTACACAGTTGCAGCAGACCCTTGTGACAAGTTACAGTGATATTCTGGACAGCGAATCTGCAGAGCTGTGTCACAGATCACTAGACGTGGTTCTGCAGCTGTTCATCTTCCAAGTTACTCCGTAACTTCCACAGCCCATCTCTGCGCTCCTGCTTCTGCTTCAGTGTGCTGATAGCCTGCTGGGTGACCATCCCTTACGCCTCAGCTGAGACTCAAAGACCTGCACAGCATATTCTGTTCCTGTGGAGGCTGCATCAGGGGCATCCCTATGGTTGCTGTCACCTGGTGCGATACCACTTAGTGACATCCCCTCCGACGATCCCCACAGAATGGATCGGATCTGCAGAATGGATCGGAATCTGATCCATTATGCTCCCCAATCCACAAATCCGATCCATCCTGCGGGGATCATCGGCATGCAACCTATACGGGGTGACACCGGATCAGCTCCACGAAAAGGTAAGTTGTAAAGCAAGCCGACGATCCCCGCAGGATGGAACGGATCTGCAGATTGGGGAGCATAATGGATTGGACTCCGATCCATTATGCTCAAACCGCAGATTCGATCCATCCTGCGGGGATTGTCGGCTTGCTTTACAACTTACCTTTTCGTGGAGCTGATCCGGTGTCACCCGTGTGGTAGGTGTCACCTGGTGTGGCACGCACCCCCTGCACCTGCCTAGGGATGTCCCTGGGCTACATCCATATCAGGATTGGTGAGTAGGTTTATGCCTAACCCCTTCTGTCATTTAACTGCTTAGAGACACTGCATGCAGACATCTTTATACTTCAGCCATAGAGGAACCCTTGCTATTATCACTTCAGTTGTTTACCTGCTTAACATTTCTGGCCTATAAATACCCAACATCATCCACGGGTCCACAACGTGCTAGCAGAAGGCAAGTTCCCTCTAAACTGGAACTGTCTCTTATACAAGTCATGAATACCTGCTCATCCATTTAAGGAAGCACTCTACCCTTGTATTACATTATTAGAAAATAGAATATTATAGTGACAATTAGCTCAGTGCGCCAGTGGTCCAGAGGTTGCTGATGAGTTTCTAAGTCTCTCCCCCTTCAACCAGTGTTGTCTTTGACAGTTACCTTTATTTGTATCTAATCTGTAGAGAAAAGTTTTATGTGCTTTAGAAAATGATTTTGACCTATTCAACTGTTTTAATCAAAGCCCTTGCTTACCAGCATTCAATATAACAATATTTGCTTAGAATTGTGTCTCTCGTTTTCATCAGACTCTGTGCCAGTGTTCTTTATAACCAATCTGGTGAGCATTGTTTCTGTGTTTAAGTATGTCTGAACCTAGAGTGTCAGAAGGGTTGAGGGGCTTGCAAAGTCAGGGCAACAACTGGAATCAACTAGCAGCCCGCACAGGGGTAGCGCTACAACTGTGTGATTTTTTTTCGTGATAGTGGATTAACTGGATAACATTTGTTATGAGTAACATTTGTTGTATTGCATTTATTATATTCACAGGAAAGCTTCTGAAAGCAGAGTATATATTAAGTAGCCTAATAAGCAACAATGGAGCAACAGGTAAGAAACATAGTGAACCTTAATGAGGATGGAGCTGTGTGCTCTTTGGGGATTCATTTATTTACCTAAAAGTGCAGCCAAAATGTTTTTTAGTTTTTGATTATATAGGGAGGGGTTTGAAGATGAAGATATTGATTACCCTAGGTAATATTTAATATTTAATATTTATATTTAATATATTTAATATAATAATATATATTTAATTATATTTAATAATAGATATTTAATGTAGTTTATACAAATGTTTAATAAAGACATGAACTCATTAAGGGACACATTCATCCAAAGTTCTACTTTTAGGTGGCCACCAATGAGTTGCATTATCTGCTGGCTTTAGCATGGGTCTCTGTCCCCTCCCACAAAGTCATTTTATCCGCTTGTGGACCTCCTACTGCGGTTTTACTGTGGCAGAGCGGCCCCGCTGCACCAGATGATGTACTTGTACATCATCTGGCATTAC